TGATGATGATGATGATGATGATGATGATGATGATGATGATGATGATGATGATGATGATGATGATGATGATGTGCTGTCATGTCAATTCTGACTTATTTGGCTCTTTTCAGAGTTTTCTAGGTAGAGAATATGCGGAAGTGGTTGTACCTTCTTCTGGGGGTGCAGCTTTTGCCCAAGGCTACACAGGCTGGCTCTTCTCCCAGGAGGCACCGCAGGGATTCGAACTCCCAACCTCTGGCTCCACAACCTAAACCACTGAGCTACCCAGCCAGCTAAGACACACATTGCTTTTTATACTAGAGGTGGAGAAAAGGGGGGCGCACGCACACACACACACACACACACACACACACACACATGCAAACACACACACACACACACACACTTTCTCAACCGCAATGTTGGTCCGGAGAGTCCAAAGGAACAGGGGATTTATAAACCCCCATGTTATCTGAGTGCCGATCAACAGCTGCTCCCTGGAACATATTAACAAAGCCATCAGCATGGTGACCAGAGACAGGAGTCTGGATGACTGCCTCTCTCCCAGCCCCGTGGGTAAATATTTCCCCTATCCTGCTCTGCCCAGGGTGAGATCCTCTGGAGCATTCTCTCTATGCCTCTTTCGTGGTACCTTTTCCCAATTTGACGTTTTCCTTCGGTCTAAATTAAGGGCCGGGGATTCTTTCAACCTGACAGCTAAATTCAGTTCTGGAAGGCCTGTGTTCCCGGAGCGGGCGGGAGTAAGCCTCCAAATACCAGGATATTTTTTGCCAAGAGCTCTTGCAAACTAAGCCTTAGAAGATATATTTCAGCTGCTCAGTACTGGAGTGAAGTAAAAAAAGAGGCAGAAAATGTTGCAGAGTTTCGGTTAAATTTCTCTAGCTATGTAGCAGAAATACAAGGATTCATGAAGAAGAATAGCTTCAAGTAATCCACCCTTTCTCTCTTTTTTTTATCACCAACTGGCACTTACAGTCTCAGTAACACCTCCTGAGGCATTTGTAGGAGAAAGAATAAAATATTTCCATACTTACAGTGAACAGACAACAGCAAGCAAAAAACGTGGCTGCTTTCAGCAACAGACCTCAACAGACTCCTAACGGGCAACAGAGAACAAAGAGTGGGGAAAGAACTCAGTGAAGAGGTAGGGCTCTCTTTGAATTCAGAGGCAGCTAAAGAACAATTGGTTGGATAGCTTGACAGTCACCCTGGTCCAGAAAGGTTGTTCCCAGCCAAACGTAATAAAAGCAGCATGCAAGGTTGCAATAATTCCAACAAGTCAGAGCACCTGGCAGCAGAGCTTTGGGCACAAGTTCCAATTCCTCCCATGGAAAGGGGTTGGCCGAAACCACCATGGAGTTTATGGGGCTGATGCATTTATAGTCCCTGCCACCTGTGCAGCCTCCAGGAAGTGTCACCCTTGCTCAGAATCGGCTTGACAGCACAGGAGAGCCCCTTGCTCGGAATCGGCTTGACAGCACAAGGGAGCCAAACAAGGGTTCCAGTCTTCAACTCTAGCTGGAAGAAAGAAGTGCACTCAAGCCGAACAGCTAATTCATGATCCCACTCCTGTGTCTTGAATTTGAGACAGGAGCCTAATTCTGCCACAGGGCAGGGCCAGATCTTCCCCCGAAATCAACCCAAACACAAGGGGAAGGAAATGCGGCACTAGCCCTAGCCAGCTTTCCATGTATTTCTTTCTTCTTTCCTAAGTGGGGAGAAACACACAGAATGTGTTAGTAAGACCTGCACGTTTCCCAAGAGACATCTTGGCCCGGCCAAGGACGATGACTTCAGAGAATCTCTCAGTCCCGCAGGCTGTCCTTGTATTTTTTTACCCGCTGACTCACAGCCAGCCAAGGAGCGTCAAAGATCCAACTTAGACACGGCCCAGAAAGAGGGCACGCACTGACAACAAGAGAAGATTAAAGCAGGCATGGATTTGCATAAATAAGGCATCTTAATCTGCATATGCAGATACCAAATTAGAAGTTTATAATTGAAACAGAGTTATGATCTACCCCACTCAAGTAAAGTGCAGCAAATGAGGCTCCACTCAACAGATCAGGGGAAAGTATGAACTAGGGGTGGGATTTTTTGATGGACTAAAAAATCCCATAATTCTCCATTCTGGAAGTTCAACTTGACTTGTGCACACCTTGCCGACATGCCTCACCTGGGAGAAAAGGCCTAAACAGGAAGGCTTTGAGGCTTAGCTAGGCCTAGCTCCACCTAGCTTCCTGTTTGGAAAGAAAACTCCCAGCTAGCACTGGGGCAGGAACAGGAAGCTTGGGTGAAGCTAGGCCTAGCTCAGCCTCAAAGCCTTCCTGTTTAGGCCTTTTCTCCCAGGCGAGCCACATTTAGGCATCTGTAACGTGTGGGTTGGTCAGGTAGAACACTCAGAATGGGGAATGATGAGGCTTGTAGTCCAAGAGATCCAAAAAAATCCCATCTCTAGAAGTGACTTGTGCACCTACATCTGAGTTTGTTGCCTGATCCTGCTCATTGTGGCTGCTGGGCAAATTCAAGTTCCAGGATCCCCTTCTGGTTCTTGATGTTTAATCCAGATCCATGCTGGGTGGCCCTTTGGACAAGGGGCTGCCCTCTATGTCAAGGACTCCTCTGTTTTCAGTGGTGGCTGAGGACCATGCCACCCCAGGGGTGTGTGTGTGTGAATTTGCTCCAGTTGTGAGTCTGATCATTACCAAAAGCTGTAACAATCAAAACCGGGGTCTCTTTGAGCGGTAGGTTTCAGCACTATGGACAGGCTCTGTGAAATTCAGAGTAAAACCCAGTACAGGTCACCCACCCACCCATTCTCTTCAAAATATGGGACATCAGCCTCCACAATGTATTTTGGAAAGACCTGGAAAGTGGCTTTAGATGCCAGCCATTTTGCACTGGAGGAGCTGGTGGTGAAGACAAAGGACAGTATGATGGAGATCACTGGTAAGTGCTACGAACTTTTAAGGGCACTCACAGCAACCCTGCGACGTTGACCAGGCTTTTTTTAAAAAAATGCAAGTGCCATTTCTCTTTGTGTATGTTAGGCTGAGATATACTGCCTCTGGAGGTGAAGGCTCCATTCTTGGTAGACCAGGACCCCACTCATTCTTCTCTCATAAGAAAGGTTCCATTCTTGGTAGAACAACCAGACAAATATACCCCATCCAAAGAGATCAGGACCCCACTCATTCTTCTCTCATAAGAAGGAGGATCCTCTGTAAGAGGGAGATGCAGGATGATCGGATGCCTCGCTGCTCTGTTTGGCAATGATTTTTTTTCTTGAGCTACTGGGCTCCCTCATCTCAGATTTGGAACCATGGCTCGCAGCCTTCACAGGACAGCTAAGGCGTAGTTATGTGCTCTGAACACCCTTTCTAAAGTCCAGCTACTAAGACAGTCTTCAAGGGCAGCCCCTCGTAAAGCCTAGGGCAGTACTCCAGCCCAGACCATAGACCACTAAGCCAGTTTATCCTTCCACAGGTAACGTTGCACCTGGATCATGAATTGAAGCTGGTAGAAGGAGGTGTTGCCCAGCAGGTTTGGTGACCTCGCATGCTGTGTATAGCCCACCGGGGCTAGTTCTGTGGCTCCCTAAGCAGAGGCATAAGTAGGGTACAGTACATGGGGCTTTGCCCCGGGACCCTAAGATTTAGAAGTTCTGCATGAGTGAGAAGAAACTAAACGGCAGCACCAGGCCTGGTATGTGTATATATCATAAGGACTGGAGTGAAAATATTAGATCCCATGTTGTCTATGTCTGTTGAATATGATGCACTTCCAGAATCTGGAATATCCCAGGAAATCTTGCAGATAAATTTACCAGGAACCATAGGAGAGGAACAGTATTTTATCTGGTTCTCATGTTCTTTGCAAGGGAAGCAAGAACGGGTCCCTCTCTCTTCTACCACAATGTGGACCCAAAAGATTACATCCTCAGTTCAAGGTAAGCTCCCTGGTTCGGGATGAAAGACAAGCTCCTTCTTAGCTCCGGTGGGAATTTATCTCCATTTCACCTTCTCTCGTCATACTTGCCCCATCGCCCTCCCTCCTCGGGCTGGCCAGGATGACAAACACAGCGAAAGAATGAAGCCGAGAGACACGGGATGTTCACGAACACCTCCTCCGGCCAAGTGTAATTTCCATTAATAGAGATTGTGACATTCTTGTCCAAAAATAGACAAGGGGGCCGTTCATAAGGCCCGGCTGCCGGAGGTTTCTCCCTGCAGTTCAGAGGAGCGGAACAAAGAACCAGAGCACCAAAGTCAGGATTCGGCCATGTCGGAGCGCCAAGTGCCTTTCACGTTCCTCCGGACTCCCAGCTGGGATCCTTTCCGGGACTGGTACCGAGGCAGCCGGCTTTTCGATCAGTCTTTTGGGATGCCCATGATCCCCGAGGACTGGTACAAGTGGCCCGCAGGAACCAGCAGCTGGCCTGGCTACGTCCGCCCGCTGGTCAGTCCTAGCCCAGAGCCGGTGGTGGTCAGCCCCGGGGCAGCTGCGCCGGCCGCCAACCCAGCCTACAACAGAGCCCTGAGCCGTCAGCTGAGCAGCGGGATCTCCGAGATCCGGCAGACCTCCGAGACCTGGAAAGTGGCTTTAGACGTCAGCCATTTTGCCCCGGAAGAGCTGGTGGTGAAGACAAAGGACGGCGTGGTGGAGATCACCGGTAGGTGTTACGAACTTTAAAGGCACTCACAGCAACCCTGCGAGGTTGGCCAAGCTTTAAAAAAAACGCAAATGGCATTTCTCTTTGTGTATGTTAGGCTGAGATATACTGCCTCTGGAGGTGGAGGTTCCATTCTTGGGAGAATGACCAGCCAATTGCAGAATTAATGACTCAGAAACCATAGGCTTTTAATCAAGTAATCTGCTTATTACATATCAAGACATTGCCCTGATATGAGGAGAGCCAGTGCGGTGGTCGTAAGCAGTGTTCGGGGTGCAGATTTTTGCAGTCAAAGGTTCACTGGGTCTCTGCTTACCAATGAAACCCATAGAATGATTCGTGCCGATTTCTCTCTCTCTTAGCCTCACCTTACCTCGCAGGACTGTTGTGACAGGAAACTGAGAAAAAGAGGACCCATGAAATGGAAGGAGATAGAGACACGACTAGTAGATAAAAATGAGATGTTGGCATCAGCAAAACCTTAAAAGAGGTGCCATTTTATGTTTCAGCCAGAGTTAAGAAGACCAATGTTGTTATTTTGCCTTATTCAGCCTTGGGTCTTTCCCCCCCACCTTTAATGTACTGTTCCAGCAGGAGGTGTTTTTGTAAACTGTGTGGTGTGTCCTCGTGAAGGTCGAAGGGAAAAAAAATGCTGTTCTGAATTAAATAGCATTTTAAAATCTAAAGTCAGAATAACATGCGGAAGTGAATGGGGGACGGCTCAGCCGGGCAAACAATATTTTTGCATTTGTTTCAGATTGAAAACTGAGCTATTTCTACAGAGAATGAAGTCTCTTGGGAGGAAAATAACAACACATGATGGATTCTTTTAGGAAGTACAGAAGGCCCCCCATATCTGTGGGAATTGGCTCCAAACACTCCCCACAGATGCTGAAAAATGTAGATTNCGGCTCCAAACACTCCCCACAGATGCTGAGAAATTTAAGATTATAGCAAATACCCTTTTACTAGTGAATGCTATACATAGCATGATAGCAAATACTCTTTTACTAGTGAATGCTATACATAGCATGGTCACTCTCTCCCTCTTGTGGCCAGTTCTGGTAACTTTATCTTTTAAAATGCATATTTCTATTTTTTTGTTTGTTTTATATTTTTAATATTTTCAGACAGTGGTTGTTTTATATTTTTAATATTTTCAGATAGTGGATAAGTGAATTAGTGGATACTGACCTTTAAAAGCAGCTGAAATCTTGTTTAAGTGTTCCATGGGTAGTGTGACATTTGGAAGCAAATTGCGCAAAGTTACGAGGACATCTCTGAAGCTATTTGATCACACTAGACTACCAGCACCATAATTTTCCACCCTGGGAGTTCTCTCTACCTTGTAGGCACCTTGTAAATACTTGACTTTGGCTCACCTGGGAGATAGGCCTAAACCTGAAGGCGTTGAGGCCTAGCTAGGCTGAGCTCTGCCCAAGCTTCCTGTTCCTGGGAGCTTTATTTAAGTACGAGGTGAAAAAAATCTGCCATTGTGGTGGAATGCAAGTTTCAGTACGGGAAGCATGGTTCAGGAGGTGAAAAAAAATCTGCCATTGTGGTGGAATGCAACAACATTTGTTGACAATTCCTCTTTTCTTTTTTGTTCCATCTTCTTTAACACCAATGCATAAGGGGTCATCTCTTGCCCACTGTAATAAAGCAGTGCTTGGGAAAGTCACCTCAGTTGTGACTACAACTCCCAGAATCCCCCAGTCAGCTTCAGAGCGTCATCGCTTTCTCCTGGCACAAACTTCGGGGCCTCTCCTCATACGCACCACACGTCTCCAGATCGGAGGGTTTGGAAAGGAACAAAGAGGGGAGCGGTCCGAGGAGGCAGACAAAGAAACACACCATCCGGGAGGAGGATCTGTTCATGCTGCATCGCCGCTGGCGCGCTTTATCCTTGATTAAAATCCATAAGATATTGAGCCGGTGCCAAGCTTGGCCTTGGCAATTATGGGATGGGAGGAGTGGGTGGAGACAACTTTTTCCAGAGGTCCAAGGACCCGTTCCCCTAAATATTGGGGGGGGTCACCTTTTCCTCCATCATAATCATTCCCCCAATCATCCTCTGTTCCTTCACTCTTTCTCCAAACTCTTAAGACTGTGCATTAGTGGAATTGCCTGAATTATTGATGCTTTCTCTTTTTGTTGAGATCCCAGAGGGATCTGATTGTCGGAGATGCATCTTCCCCTCCCCCCCCCTGTTTGTGCTGCAGCCACTGCTGGTCACTGGGGGTTGGGGTGGGAACCTGGCTCTTACTCCCACCCCCTCCTGCTCCCATTCATCACTGTCTGAAATATTCATGCATGTCTCCGGAGCATGGCTTAATGGGTGGCCACAGTAGCTATGTAGCTATGGCAACGCACCGGAGATGAAGTGGGGAAGGGGGTGAGGAAAAAGGGGTCAGGAGGCAGAGGGAAAGGTGAGGAGTTACCCCAATCAGCACTAGAAACACAAGCAAGGAAAGCTGCCAACTGACCTAAAAGAGGCATCCCAGAGCGCTCCTCTGCCACAAAGCCATTTGGGCTACAGAAATCAGAGAATCAACTCCGTCTCTCATCACAGATAAACTGCTTAGCAAGATCGGACAACCAGAGAAGGCTGTTGCCCATAAACATAATTTGGAGGTTTCGTTTCTCTTTGTTTTCTCGCAAGTCTGTCTCTGTGTTGGTTTGTTGGTTTGTTTACTTGATTTATAAACCACCTCTCTAGCGGACACAATGCACAGATTAAAACTCAGAACCCCAGATGGCCCTATAATCCACGTAGTGCTTCGTCAAACTAGATCTCTCTTTTTTAAGCACAAGGGGGAAAAATTAATATTAACAGCATCCAGGAGACTCCACTGTTGAAGGCAGCTTTGAACAATTCTGTTTTCAACAATTTCCCGAATATCGGGAAGGAAAGGAGCCTGGCATACCTCAATGGGGAGCTGATTCCAAAGACTGGGGGCCACCACCGAGAAGGCCCAGTTTGCTGTTGTCGCCTTTCTAGCCTCCTTTGGTGTGGCCATTTTTAGCAACCTGGATTGGGAGGAGCGGCTGAAACAAATATGGGGGTTGATTTCTGTGAGAGACATTCAGACAAGTATGCTTGTGAGTCTATGTTTTGGGATGGAGTTTTTAAGCAGTATATTGGCAGTTTATAAATACAGTAGGGTCCTCCCTGGTCCGTGAGATTGCTCTCCGCTGATTTGCTTATTCACTGTCTGAAAATGTTAAATAAAAAACCCCAGATGTATAAATACTGTATTTCCAGGATGTGTTTACCAGACCTGGACACTAGAGGGAGCCAGAGACCATAGTGTTTGATACTTCTGTATATGTTGTCATCCATGGGGGGGGGGGGGTGGGAACTCAACTCCTGTGGATACCACGGTCCTACTATTAACAGAATTTCCAATTATATTAGGACCCCCATACTGGATTTACAGGGGATCCGTTCCAAGCCCCACCACAGATGCTGTGATACTTCTGTGTATGTTGTCATCCGTGTATTTACAGGAGATCCGTTCCAAGCCCCACCACAGATGCTGAACAAGAGGAACACTATTTTAATGATGAACGCTATACAGAGCATGGTCTCAGGTGCCATCTAGTGGCCAATTCTGGTAATGGCGCCATGGAATCTATTTCTCTGGTGAATGCTATACATAGCATGGTTTCTGGCTCACTCTAGTGGCCAGTTCTGGTAACTTCATTTTTAAAATTACAGTATACATATATATTTGGGTTTTTCTTCTAATACTTTTAATATTTTCAGACTGGATAACTGAATCAGCAGATACCGATCCCGTGTATAAGGGGGTCCTACTTTTTTAATAGTTTCAGAATGTGGATAACTGAATCAGCAGATACCGATCCCGTGGATAAGGGGGTCCTACTGTTTTTTTTGACCAGTACTCAGAATGTATATATTAGAGAAAGCCAACCAAACAGTGCAAGCAGTTTGCTGCAGGTAGACGGGTGCTATGATCCAGGAAAAGCCCTTGGAACTGTTGCTATAAGCTAGCTGAGGGATTCTGGGAGTTGTAGTCAGACGGGTGTTATGATCCAGGAAAAGCCCTTCTTGTTCCTACATTGCATCAATTTTAGATATGTAGCTTCTTGGAACTGTTGCTATAAGCAAGCTGAGGGATTCTGGGAGTTGTAGTCCAGGCTCTGAGTCCAACTGTGGGAAATACTTTCTCGTCGTTTAAAGCAATACCAGCCACTCCATAACTTTGGCATTTTCTCTCTATCTTTGTTGATTTTAGGCAAACATGAAGAAAGACAGGATGAGCATGGCTTTATTTCCAGGTGTTTCACAAGAAAATACACGTAAGTAATGGAACTAGTTAGGTGCAAAGAGAGGAAACCAGTTGTGCCATAAATCAGAGATGGGCAGTTGGGTCCGAGGACTATGAAATATTCATAAGACAACAAGAAAGTTCCCCGGCTACTTGGGGCTGATAAAAGAATGACCCAAGACCAGAACACTTTTTCCCCAAATGCCTCTTAAATTTTTCTTAAAATGCTCTCAAAAAATAACTTCTGGAAATACCTTGGTTTTACTTGTCATACCTATGTAACAGAGGCATCATTCTTCCCCCCCCCCAGAAAATAACTTACTAACTATTAGTTCCATTGTGTGTTACCCAAAACTAACTAGTTACAGGTAACTACACTACTTGTAACTAGTTATTTGCAAGCTAGAATAGTTGTACCTCTTTAACCTGGCCAGTGCAGGTGAAGGAAAATATCATTCCGCTCCATTTTCGAAGCATGTAAGCAAAATGTTGATCTCTTGCTATGGATTGAATCAATTTAAGTGTTTTTTTCTTTTTATTGAATACAGGCAAAAGTAAAGCTGGCGAATTTTGCCATTTTTCCTTAGAAGCAACTCTTAACCAAGGAAGCCTTTGGCAAAACCTTCAAGGTCACTATTTTAGTCTTTGAACGATGAGTCACATGCCTATTGCACAATTGACTGATGACCACACCTGGTTCATTATTTAGCTGGGACCTGGAAAGGATTAGACCAGTGGTTCCCAACCTTGGGCCTCCAGATGTTCTTGGACTTCAACTCCCAGAAATCCTGGCCAGCAGAGGTAGTGGTGAAGGCTTCTGGGAGTTGTAGTCCAAGAACATCTGGAGGCCCAAAAGTTGGTGACCACTGGATTAGACCAAGCCATGGGTCAGGCGGCAACTGTCGGCTCAGTGGGTGATGCAGAACCTCCTTTTCCAGGGGCAGTCTATCTCTGAGAATCTGCTCCCAGCCTTGAGGAGAAAGACAATAGGTGAACAGAGCTGAAATGAATTGAATTGATGCAGGTTGTGACGTCCAGGTCTCTTGTCTCAGGATAAAAAATGCTGTCACTGGGAAGAAAAGCACCAGGCTAAATTGAGCATCATGCACATGGAAGCAGGCGTTTAAAAGTCAGCAGCACCAGAGGACGCTTGCCACACAAGTAGAGTCTTGAAGTACTGTATGACCCCCGTATCTGTGGGGGAGCGGTTCCAAGCCTCCCCCCCACAGATGCTGAAAAACACAGTTTGCAGTCAGCCCAATTTTAAAAGTGCACACTATCCATAGCATGGTCTCTGGCTCTCTCTAGTGGCCAGTTCTGGTAACTTCATCTTTAGAAATATATGTATATTTCTAGGATCCTTTGTTTAATCTTTTAAATATTTTCAGACAGTGGATAAGTGAATCAGTGGATATTGTTCCTGCAGATAAAGGGGTCCTACTGTACTTTTTTTTTTTTGGATGGGGTGGAGGCCCACTCCAGGTTTCAGTCTGAAACGTTTGGGCGCTGTCCCAGGTTCTGAACACGACCACCCCAAAGAGGATCTGCGTTAGAGAGGCAATTTTGAAGCTGTATAAAACAGTTTTGGTTAAAAAGGGGGGGAACTGTTTCCTCCGCCCCCCAGGTTTTCCAGATTTTTTTTTACCAGGCCTTCTCATCTCTAGTCTGTGCCTAGAATAAAGCCTTGAGGAGTTCGGGGTAAAAGTCGGAGCAGATTCTTTCCCCACCCCCACCCCAAAAAAACTGGAGCCACCGACATGGTCCGTCTTCTCTCCTGAGTGCCCAAATGGAGATTCGCGCTGGTTTGGCCCTCATTCCCGCGGCCACTCCGTCCCCTTTATCGCCCGGCTGGACTGGGCATCCTTCTTAAAAGCCTTTCCGCTTTTTCTTTTCCAGGCTGCCACCTGGCGTCGATCCGGCAGCGGTCCACTCCTCTCTTTCCCCCGATGGGATGCTGACGGTGGAAGCCCCTCTGCCCAAGCCTGCCATCCAGTCGGCCGAGATCAGGATCCCGGTGAAATTCGAAGCTCACGCCCAGATCCCTCCCTCGGAGGCAAAGAAGCCGGAGGAGCCCCCCAAGAAGTAACCGGCCGGTGGGGAGCCACCCCCCCCCGATGGAGAAAGGCCACCAGGAGTCATCACCTAAACCTTTCTTTTTTTTTTGGTAAACCTACCTCTGCGTTCACTTTCCCCAAATAAATTTTGTAAAGCCCTGTGTCACTCTGTTTCGTTTTTCTTTGATGTCCCCGGGCCGCCCCGAGCATCAACCCATCCAGGTGGTTAAAAGCTAAAAAGCTAAATATCCCATTGCCGATTTTCTGGTCGTGGTTCTCATCACCCTCTTAGAACTGTTGAGCTGGAAGGGGGCCCTGTGGGTCATCTAGTCCAGCCCTAGCCAAGGAGGCGCCGTGACTCCTTGACAGGGGCCAGACTGGGTGATCCATAGGGCCCCTTCTGGCTCTGCAGTTCTAAGAGGATGATGATGATTTTATGTACCATTATTGATAGACTGATTACATTTATATACCCAGCCTTTCCTTCAAATAGCTGAAAGGACTGTAAATTGGCTTCTTCCCCTGTCTTCTTGGCAACCCCATGATATAGGTCAGGTTGACAGAGTTTTCCAGTGAGTTTCACAACCAGGGGGTGATTTGAACCCAGGTCTCCTGAAGAGGGAAAGGTTAAAAATAGGATTTTGTGACCTGGCATTTGTGGTTTCCAGTCAGACTACATAAATTCACAGTCCAAAGCAGCAACACTGTCAACGCCAAATACCAACCGATATCTTCTTCCCCCTCGGGGTGCCAGTTTCAGTAGAGAAGTGGCCGCCTGGGGGAGACAGGGCCCAGAAGCCACAGGATCCACCCGAGACAAAGGAGAACAGAAACGGCTTGGTGACTTTCGTGGCAGGCTGGTTTGCCTTGTGTCGGAAATATCTTTTTAAAAGAAAGCAAGGATAAGGAAGGGACCCCTCTGGGCTCTTGTCGCAACCATGGGCATTTTAAGGGCCTTCTGGTCTTTAAAACAAAAACAAAACAGGCAGGAATCCTGTAAAAGAATGTTTCTCTTCAGTGCTAAGAGCAAAAGGCCTGTGGAACTCACTGCCACAAGATCCCGACAGACTTTTCACAAGGGGAAAGAACAAAGGTCAGCCAAGTGCGGCTGAAGGCTGCATGCCCAACACAGAACATGCAGGCTGGGGGCCAAAAACCCAAAGCTCAGCCCTGGCATAGTAGCCAGCCTCTGGCCGGCGGAACACAGCGCCACAGGACTTCAACATGCTTCCAAATGGCGCAGGGAGCAAGGATAACTGTTTGCAAGCTGTCATTCAAAGCGGCGTCAGTGTTTGTTGTTCAGAGAGGCCAGCTGTAAAACATCAGATGTGTTCCCTTTCGGTATCCTTAATTTGGAAATGGTAAATGTAAAAAAAAGGTCACATTTCTCACCTTCTCACAAATTATGTTTGTGTGCGTGTGTATGGATCGACATGGGCAAAATATGAAGATTTATAATTGTCCCGTGTCAGTGGTGCCATGTTATTTCTCTCTGAGCTTCCCGCAGCCTGCAGCGTTGCCCAGCAACCGGCGGGCAAAATGTTCGTTTCTCTGGGACCTTAACGAACAACCCTACAATAATGTATCAGGCAGGACGGACACATAGGGAGACCAAAGAATTGGACTCTTAGGGTTTCCCTTGTACCGCACAGACCCACCCACCCCACCTTCGCTGACAAGAAATGTTTGCACAGCACATCTTCAAGGGGAAAAATATGCAAGAAAGGCTATGAGATTTTCCCACAGGTCATTTTTTCTCCCCAGAAAACTGGAGGGAAATCTCGTGGTCACGTTTTGTCCTTGAAGGAAAAAAAACAGGTGGTGGCCAGCGTATTACCATTCCCCCGCAGGACGGCATACCTTCCTATGCAGGAAGACGCTTGGAAAGTGCAGGAGAGATGCCAACCCTGCGCAGGACGCACCAGCAAGAGCTGCACAGAGGTTGGCTGTTGTATGCTGCGCAGAACGACAAGCAACAAAATAAAACACATTTTAGAAAGAAATGATCCTGAGTCTTCTTTAACCGGAAGCCAGGAAATCTTTCGGCTACGAGAAGGCGTCTCAGCTGAGATGCACGGCATGGCAAGAAGCGGAACATCACCAAAAATGTGAAATTGTGAGAGTCCTCACCTCACTCTTAGAGCCGGCTGGAGAGAGTTGCTGTGGGTCTCTGCGGACTGCCCAGCCCAAATCAGCTTTAAAGAACCCTAAAGAAGATGTTGGGGGAAGCAGACATCTTTTTTCCTCGGCCCCAAGCAGCTACCGGAGGGTGGCTTCTAATCCAATTCCAAACCAAGGCTCCCCAAGGTCCTTCTCCCTGCCCTCAATGCCAGTTCAGACCTCTTCAAGTTTGGACTGAAACCCAGAGTGGATTGAAACCCTCAGCCCAACCATATGCTGGCGAAAACTCAGCATCCGTGCCATTCTTAGGTTCACTCTGCTGTGCGCCGGTGACAGCTTGCCGGCCGGAAGTGGGCACAAATCGATGTGCCCGGAGCCTTTGGGGACATATCTTGAAGCCATCTCGTAGCAGTGATGGATGTTAGCTATTAAAGAGATGTCCGGAATCTGAGAAGGGCAATTCCCCCCGGGAGAGCTAAAGGAAGGGGTAGAAAACAGCAGCTACGGAAATGCCTCTGTGTGTTTAGGATGAGCTGTGATCAAGGAGCAGGCAGGGTTGTATATCCGTGTGTGTTGTTGCATACTCAGCCAGTCACTGCCTTACACAATGCTGAGGAGGCTGCATTTAAGGCATTAGGGGAGAAATGGCTGAGCTTGGCATTTCCAACTTCTAGTTGCCGACCTTTTACTTCTTGTGCTACATTAAAATTGCAGCGACGTGCAGTTTTCACTCCTGCCTCAGAGTGCCAGCCCCACTGCATCCCGTTACCTCAGGGGTGGGCAATTAATTTCTATAATTACCTATGGGGTAGGCAATTAATTTCTATAGGGGGGGCACATGAAAAATCTGAAGTGTGTTCAGGGGCTGAACCAGAGAGGTGGCACTAGTAAAAGCACTCCTTAAATTTCTCATTTAGCTCCAAAGCCCTGTTAGGGCCGTTATCAGTCGGTCCCGATACACACACTGGTATCCTTTGCTGATCCAGGTGTCCCCGGATCATAACCCCATCATCCTCAGCCAGCACAACCCTTGGCCGCGTGGGTTCCCTTGAAAAGGATGTCATCATCCTTTCAGATGTTGTCGATTTCAAAAAACCCTTCATCACTGGCTGGCTAGCAAAGGCTGATGGGATTTGTAATCCCACAAGATCAGAGAGGCAGTCTAAACATTTCTGATCGTGAGAAGGAAAGTATGGGAAGCTCTCATTATTTTATAGATTTTATTCTGTTTCTATTTTGCTTGGTTGTAACTTTACTTGAGGCTGTCTTGTTATTTTATCATCTGCATTTTATATTTTTCCCCCAAAGATTTTGCCCTCCATTCTGGCTACTGGGCAATCTAAAAATGCAATCTATTGTTATTGTGGTTAATGCAACACAACAAACACCCTAGGCCAGAAAGGCAGCGCTTTCCCCAAGGTCTCATCCAGGAATGGAACAAGCAGCGCCAGCCGATCACCTCCTGAGCTGTTGGACTTAAGGCGACTCAACTCAAGTTTTATTTTTCCAATGATTCAGACTTGAACTCGTGTCTCAGAACCGACCCATCTCTTCCTTTTTTTTTTTTCCTGGGGGGAAATTTGTTTTTAATAGGAACTCGGATTTGGTAGCAAAGGCTCCAAACTTGGGACTCAGGCCACAAGACTGGTCAACATCCCCACCTGCGGAAAAAATTTCATGGCAGACCTCCTCGCTTAAAACATCTCGCTGAAATTTTAAGCCTCCCCTGCTTCTTCCTCTCTCCTTCCCACTTTGTGCTGGTTCACTTTAAAAACACCTCGCCGGATGAAGAATTCTGTGGAACTCTGAAGCTTACACACAACGGGTGTGTGTGTGTGTGTGCATTTGAGCTGTCCCTAAGAGAGAGGTCGCCTGCTGGAGAGAGTTGGATGTGGGCCATTTGGTAAGGGTCATGGATGGCAGGCCGGCGCCTCGCCTCCACAAAACAGGCCTGCGTTTTACAGACTGCAACCCGCTGCGGATAGGAAATAGTGATCTAAGCATGCTGGCTGAGAGTTGCCTGCACTGCCCGGGGGTTAAACCCAGTGGTGTGGTGGTTACATAAAGTCCCATGTGTTGGAAAGGTCCAGAAGAAGAAGAAGAGAGAGAGACAGAGAGAGAGAGTGTACGCACGCCTCCCTACCCTCCTTCTGCTACGCTGGGGGAGTGCCACATTGCTCACTTGCACGCATGCACACCCGCCCTGCGCGTTTCCTGCTCCGGCCTTAGCAACAGAGTGCTGATTCGGCAGGCAGGGCCCTTTCGCCGGGAACTATTGGCTGCGAGCGCTGAGCACGGATTGGCCAAAGAAGGGAAGAGTGCACATGTGTGTGTGTGTATGTGTGTGTTGGCCAAAGCAGGGAAGAGTGCACATGTGTGTGTGTGTGTATGTGTGTGTGTGTGTTTTAGCTACGCACCCTGAGAATTGCGTCAAGCCCGGAACAAAGGGTGTGGTGTGTCGGATTGCAAAGGGGGGGGAGAGAGAGAGCGCAGAGCAGTGTGGCAGTCCTAGAACATTGCAGATTGCCAACAAAGGAAGGTCAAATCTCCTGTCGGCCAGGGAAGAGTGCACATGTGTGTGTGTGTGTATGTGTGTGTGTGTGTTTTAGCTACGCACCCTGAGAATTGCGTCAAGCCCGGAACAAAGGGTGTGGTGTGTCGGATTGCAAAGGGGGGGGAGAGAGAGAGCGCAGAGCAGTGTGGCAGTCCTAGAACATTGCAGATTGCCAACAAAGGAAGGTCAAATCTCCTGTCGGCCAAAGCCGTTGTTCCTTTTCCCCAGTGGTGGCGCACCCCACAGACCCGCTGGGGAGATGGAGGATCAGGATGATGCTCCCTGTCGCAGGAAAGCACAGCTGAAGGGTGTCAGGGCTGGAGATGAGGGCAAGACAGATGGGGGGGGCTGCAGGGAGAGCTCAGCGCATGCATACAAACTGGGGTCTCTCCCTACCTCCCCAGAAACCTGAACAGAAAGACAGGGTGCTCCTATGAACATGTAAAGCAAAAGTGGGGGTCGTTCTCTTGTTTCCACTACATTTAAGGAACTA